AAAAAAAAAAATTGAAAACATGAAAATATATTAATTTTGAAACCTAAAATGAAGTTGTGTTTTTGTTTTTCATTTTTTAGGCATTTTCTCTCCTTTTCCATTTTTCTATTTTTTTTGGTGGGGATGGGGAAAGGAAAAACATTTGCTTCAGAAAAAAGAACTCTTTAAAAAATAAAAGAATTAATAATTTTGACCAGCTCTGATTTTTGTGTATCTGTTTTGGTCTGGCAAAATTAGGTTGCCCTTTGGCTTTTAAATGGGGACATATGATGATAATAAGAGTGCGAAGGTGGTAGCTTTAACAGTGAATTATGTCAGTGTTGTTATACATTATGACTGAGATTTTCAAGACTGCTTAAAGAATTTAGGTGGCTGACTCCTACTAAAACTGAAGGGAGTTTGGCGTTCAAATCCCCTAGACAGCTTTGAAAATATCAACATATAACTTCTGCATTACTTTGATGTAGCTAATTTGTATTAAAATATTTTAAGGGCAGGTATATCATAATTGGGTTTCACAAAAGCATTGCCTTAAAGCCATAACTTTATAAATGTATCGTTCCTTTTATCCCAAAGGATCATAAAGCATTATAAACAAATTGTAGCCTATCATCATATCTTTAAGCAAACAAAATTTCCATTGACGCCAACAGGTGTTTTGTCCAAATAAGGACTGTACAATCAGCCTATACATACCACTGTGAATACAAATAGGAATCATTTAACCATGCATGAAACAGCAGCTATTTAAAAGCCCACATCAATGATACACAACAGTTTAGCGGAGAAAATAAAGAATACATTATCCATCTGAAACTGCACAAGGAATTTCTGGACAAAATGTTATTGCTCACCAGAGCTGATTAAAAATGTTCCATTGAAACTGTTTTTCAACTGCAAATTGGGTGTTTGACTAAATGAATTAAAAAAAAAAAGTGTCTGCTTACCGCAGAAAATTTTGACTTCTTGGTGAAAAACTGAAGACCAAACATTTTTGGCTAGAAACCAAAACTTTCAATTCAGAAATGTAAAAACATTTCATTTCAACAGCTTTCATCAAAACAAATTTTTTTTATATGGTTGAGTTCGAATGGTTAGTTTGGGCTCAGTTTGACATTTAACTGTAGTTCTTTTCTGTGGGCCGGGACTGGACTACATTTCACATGTGTAATGATAATTCTGAGTTGCAATTTGAAAGATGAAAGACCAACAGTTTGTCCATCAATTAAGCCAAGTCATAGCACAATGTATGTCAAAAGCTTAACGTTCAGCAGTCTTTCAGGAGAGTTTTTCATTATTTCCTTCCATCTTAGATCATTTATCCCAGTAAAATTTCAACATTAACCATGTTCTTGGTTACAAATGTGATTTGGATGCAGACCCGCAATACAATTAGGGGAATAGTCTTCGATCCAGATCTAATTCACAATGTTTTCTCATTGACTTATGACTAAGTTTGAAGACACCATTCAGCACTTGATTCTTGCAAGTCAGGAATCAGTCAGTCCTGTTCTAAGCTACTCCTCCCTGCAGCTCCTTTTCACTGTGGCATTATTAACCCGTTGAGTCATTCCACAAGTTTCCTTCCATGCTGAAATAAATGTATTTGGGGGGTGGGGGTTAATCTCTTTCTTCAGCACTGAACAATTCCATTCACTCTGATTTCATGCAAATTATTCCGTTCCGACTGAACTGTTGTCCTGTCCATATCACATCATCACTACTATTGCATAGCCACTGGTGAGCGTGTGCAGACCAAATGAAAGAGAAGTCGATATGGATTTATTTCCATTTCTAATATTGCTTTCAAAAAACATCTGTGCCAAGCTCTGAGGTCTAATCCATTGAAGTCAATACAAAGACTTTACTGGGCTTTTGATCAGGCTCTAGGGCCCAGAGCCTCAAAGGTATTTAGATGCCTAACTCCCACTGAAATCAATGGGATTACCTGAATACTTCTGCGGTGCTTTTACCACCCACAAGAAGTATGCTCATACATACTAAACTAGGAGCCTCTTCTTGCCTTTAACCAATAAAAAAGCCAATCAGTAGTGAGAAGAAACCCAAACATGACCCACCTCATGTACAAAGGCAGTCTCTACCCTACTCCTCCTTCCCCAAAAGCATGGGTAAGTAAATGGGCCTTTGCAGTATACCCTGAAGGTCAAAGCTCTTTAGCTACCTTGGACCAAGCAGGGGATTGAGTTCCAAACTTGAGGGACCCTCATGGAGCGCACCTTGCCAGCAGCTCTCTTTCCTATCCGTTCCGTCTTGAGGGCTTCCACTGCCTGCAGCTGTGCTAGCATTGCAGAGGGGGAGAGATGGCCCATCATGCACACAGGTCACAGGCCATTGAGGGGTTTATAGTTCAGAACAAACACCTTAAATTCACTGTGGAAACGAACAGGTGGCTAGTTCAGGTCCCGTGTTAGAGGCGTGTTGCACATCATTATGTCTCGATATTAGAGATTGGCCTGGACAAATTCTGCTCTGATGCCAATCCAAATCCACGGTAACTCCATTGACTGAAGAATTCCACAGGATCTGGCCCATTGTTCTCACCCCACATAGTTTACAGTCTAAAGCCCTGACTCTCCCACCAGTGCTGACTGGTTTCTTCCCTCCTAAGTTGTCCCACTGATTTCAGTGGAAGTGCTTGCAGGAGCAGAATTGAGCCTTGAATAAGCAGGCAACCCAGAACCCAATGGGAGACTCAGAGGAAGGTTCTGCCTTGGAGGTTTTTTGGTAGCATAAAAGTAAGTGACATCATGTGATGTGACATAGGTTAAAGCACATGGGCTTTGCAGGAAAAGGTTAATATTGGCATACATCTAGTGAGACGGGTGAGGTAATATCTTTCATTGGACCAAATTCTGCTGGTGAGAAAGACAAGATTTCGCCCTTACACAGAGCTCTTCTTTGGATCTGGGAAATGTACTCAGAGGGTGACAGCTAAATACAAGGTGGAACAGATTGTTTAGCGTAAGGAGTTAACACATGTTGCAAGAGACCATTCAAGGTGAACTGGGCAGTTAACATCTCTGCAGTCATAGGACAAAGAAGGGTTAGTGAGTTACAGATTGGATTTATGGCTCATTAAAACTGTCTCTTCTATGTCCATGATTTTTAGTGTCTAGCAAAGGTATCATCTTTTGAAGGTGTTCTGTGGGTTTCCTTTGAGGATGAGGACTGAGACATATGTCCCCTGCTATGATGATGAATACCCCACCCCCACCACAACACATCTTTCAAGATCCCTGTGTCTTACACATGCCTATCACAAAATGCAGTGTACCTTGTCCAGCGTACTAAATGCTCCAGTAACAACTATGTGGGTAAAACAAGATAATCATTATGCTCTCGAATGAACTCACACAGAAAATGATAAAAGACAAAAAAACCATATCATGGATGGGTGAACAGTTTTCACAAAGTGATCACTCCATATCTGACCCCTCAGGCCTCAAAAGCTTGTTTCTTTCACCAAAGAAATTGGTCTAATAGAAGATATTACCTCACCCACCTTGTCTCTCTAATAGCCTAGGACCAACAAGGTTAAAACATTGTAAATGTACATCTAGTGAAGCCAGGGAAGTTTCTTCTCATTCATATTGGTGTAAGAAAGATCAGAATCAGACCCAGTGAATTTTCAGGAAGGAATTTCCAAAGCAAGAACAGATACCGGACAGGACAGGATAGGAAGAATTTCAATCATACTTTGCAGTCTCATGTCCCCAGACTAGAGATTAGCCCAAACCAAAACTCTGAGTCGGAACACCATCAGATCTTGGGGGCACTGGACATCAAAAACCAAAGCCAGGTCTGAATTTTGCAAACAGCCCCTGTTTTAAAAGGGTTGAAAATAGCCTCGGGTCTGAACTCCCCAGATTTTGGGATGACTCCCCTGATTTTTGGAGTTTGGGGCAGTGTCTGCTCAGGAGTGTGACATGAGTGGAGCCTACCTAGCTCTGCCAGGCTGGGTGTATCTGAGATGAAGATGATGTCTCACCTGTCAGTTTTTGGATTTCAGCAGGCTAGTAAGTAACTGCTGGCTTTTCTTCTTTGCAAAAGTCACCGCATAGTTCACAGGGAGAAAGAGAAGTGCCATGAGGAAGGCTGCAAAGAGAAGAATGCAACTGCGGACATGCTGCTATTTTTAGACACTAGCTCAGGCAGACTTAGCAGAGGTACATCGAGGTGAGCTTGGAATCCCACCTCCCAGTTCAGATGTGGACTTACCCTTAGTGCACGGCAGACTAGTGCAGGGTAGTTCTGCACCTCAGCTTGCTGCAAACTAAGTATTAGTCTAGATAAGTCCTTACAGTGTTACCATTTTTTTATTTAGTCCACTATATGAAAAACAAAACATGAGGAAAACTCTTCCCCAGATAAAGGCCACTCAGTCTCTACTGAGACTGTCAAGAATTTCTGTGCCTTGTGCTTCACCCCCATTGGGTTAAATGTCAACAACCATGACAGCAGTGGGAACCAAAGGTACTCAGCATCTCAGAGGATTGGGCCCTAGATGATTTACTCACATAACAAACTAGAGCTGGGTGAAATTTTTTCAGTGAATAGTTTATTTGCTGAAAAACAAAGCGTCAGGTTGACCAAATTTGTTCATAAATTTGGGTCAAATTCAGAGAAGAGTTTTGACTGTGGGGGGAACACCAGGGTAAAAAAAAATAGCCAAAAAAGTGATTTTAAAAAAATATTTTCAAAACAAAATGTTACCACTTTTTGTTTTGAAATTTAGCAAGAATTAACTTAAAAGGGGAGGGGGGAACCCAAGAATTAAATGAAACATTTCATTCCAGCTGAATCAATTTCTCCCCCCTCTCCCCCAGTATGGCCATTGAACAACAAACTCAATTATTTGCCAAATTCTAATTACAGTAAGGCCCTGCCTAGATTAGAAAAGCACGTGTGTGTTTTCAAATGGGGGATTTTAAATATGTTTTCAAAGCTAGTTCTGGTCAACCATAGTGAGGGGTGGTGTCTAAAGTTGACCAGGAGCAGCTACCACATTTTTAAAGATACTGAACCCTGTCATCGGAGGTGCTAAGCGATGTTTAAAAACCGTCTTCATTAAAACAAATAGGCGTACACATTTTTTTTTCAATACTTTTTCCCCCCAAGTCTAGAGAGGGACTAAGAGGAGCAACATATTCAGATGTGCTCGACTGGCTAAAGCTTATCCTACCCGGAGTTATGCAAACATCCTTCCATTTATAAGAAGTTTTTCCTTCAGAGAATCTGGTTGTGTCTGGCTTCTGTTCTTCCCACAGCAGGACCGAAGGATTCTTCATCAGCCCGTACATGCCTGTCAAATTGACATGAGATGAGCTGTGTTAACTTTTAAAATTCGTTTTCCGGTTATTTCATAGTGTTGCTCTGTACACAAATAAAGGTGACATATACTCTGTTTAAAAATAAATATTGCAAGTAGCAGCTGCATTTAGATAAAAAATGAGGCAAATCTGAGCTATATAACACTTAACCGTTCTGACGCACAATTAGACACGGATCCAAGCTGGAACCCTGATTCTCCAAAAGTTCTAGCATTACATACTTCACATTAGAGCTGGCTAAAGGATGATGTAGAAACTTTTAATGAAAATATTTCATCAGCATTTCAAATCTTTACTATTACGAGCTGTAGCCAAAAAGGGAAATAAAAAAATGATGAAAATCTTCAAATAATTTGCGTGAAAAAAATTTAAATTCAAAAAGCTTCAACCAGCTAATGCAAAATATTTCCAATGTTGCATAAAATAAACTGTGAAAAAATAAATACAAATCGTGAGCAGTCCAGAGAAGTGATGTCAAATTGCTGATAGAAGATCAAATGAATCTTATGAGTTCATCCAACAATATGATCAAATATTTAACTTAGGCCTAGAGAAAGTCAGAAAATTTCCACTCAAATAAAATTTCATCCAAATGGAAATGGCATTTTTCAAAAATCATCAGGGGTTTTTCCCCCTGCAACCCTCCTCGTTAAGAAGTTGCTTTTTCCCATGTAACAATATATAAGCCATATCTACACAACATACTGAGACAAATTCAGTCCTGGTTTCAACGGCTGAAACTCCACAAAGCACAAGCATGGGACTCAGTAGCTGAGTCCTCTTGGGTACGTCTACACAGCAGCTGGGAGGTGTAATTCCCAGTGCAGGCAGACATATATGAGGTAGTTCTGCTCAAACTAGTGCACTAAATATAGCAGTGTGACCATGGCAGGACGTGGCTTGGGCTAGCCACCCAAGGACAATCCCAGCTGCCACCTTGGGTATGTATTTGGGTGGTTAGTCCGTGTCACTGCGGCCACAGTAGTATTTTTAGCTGAAGAGCAGCTAGCATGTATGTCTACTCTAGCTGGGAATCCCATCTTCCTGCTGCTGTGTCGACGTACCCATTGACTGGCGATGTCATTGAAGCTCTTTGTATTTCTGTTTTTCTGTCTGTGAAACAGGATGTAACAAGTATCAGAGGGGTAGCCGTGTTAGTCTGTATCCACAAAATCAACAAGGAGTCCGGTGGCACCTCCTCATCAGTGATTGGGAGTGGACCACATCTACCCTGATTGAATTGGCCCTATAAGGTAACTCCCTTCTCTTCGTGTGTCAGTATAACAATGCCTGCATCTGTCATTTTTACTCCATGCATCTGAAGAAGTGGGTTTTTTACCCACGAAAGCTTATGCCCAAATAAATCTGTTAGTCTTTAAGGTGCCACCGGACTCCTGGTTGATTTTGAGGCTGTAACAAAGCACTGATCTCTAAGCACAGGCACAGCCGGTATGTCTGTTATGGCGGCATTTCCCGTTTAAGTCCAGGAGTTACTGGGAATTGCAGCCTCCAGACAGGGCACATGATGGTGAAGAACCAGCTGGTCATCCCATGATTCCCTGCTGGAGACAATAAAAGGAGTTCTCCTGGCTCACCCTCAGAAAGTGAGTGAGGAGTAGAAAGAAGGCCCCGTGGAAAATGCTTCTAGGGGGACCTGGCAAGGGGCCTAGGAAAGGTACCCGAGGAAGAGCGTATTCTCTTCACTCCTAGTTTGTCGAAAGCTGTAAAGGCCTGTGGTGCCTGATAGCAAATGATAGGAGCCGCTTTCCTCTTGTTTTGAATCCTTTTGTGGCAATGAGGTTGCCCTTAGGACAGGACTTTGGGCTAACCTGCAGTTTAGCTTTCCCTGGCTGGTGTATACATCCACCATCTTACTTATATAGGGTCAATAATACTTACCTTCAGCGGTCATGTGCTTTGAGATATATGGTATTGTGCTTTTCAGCAAAGTATTAGTTAGGATTTATTATTATTACACCAAACATGCATGTAGCCCACTGTGCATACCACCTGGAGTTAATGGGAAGATTTTCCCCCTTGCCCCAGATTATTCTGCCCAAGCACATTTGATGTTTTGCTCCTTTTCTTTCTCAGAAAAATTGAGCTTTGACTTAAAGTATCTTTTCCCCCCTTGCCCCTCCCACCTCTTGGCTGTGATGTCAGTCATGTTGTATTATTTTATATCGTGTAGCTCAACATGACTGATGCAACCAGACATGCACTGCTCTCCGGTGTTACGGCTCACGAATAAAAATTCCGGAGGAGCTGCCTCGGAGAAGGCTAAAAGAGAGAAATGTAACTAGAAAGTGAACCCTCTGATGCATTTTATTTAGAGCATAGCCCAGTGGATAGACAGGGGTGTGAGTTACGAACCGGGTTACAGCCTTAACCCAGAATTTCCCTACTTTTATATATTGTGATCTGAGCTGAGTCACTTCATCATCCTAACTTTGTGTGGCTTTACTTTCTATTACTATCATTGTAACTTTTGAAAGGGACGCTATCAATTTAAAAGTCATATTTCTGTCTGCAGCCTTTTTTTTACCCACTATTGTTATAAGTATTACCTGACATCTCTCGTTTCTGAATGAAACTGGGTTAAGGGGGGGAATGTTTCTCTGTTTTTTAGTTTATTTGCGTTGTGCATTAAAGCAGCACTCTGTGAATAGTCAGTAGAGGCGGTCAAGAATCTTCAATAAATGTTTGGTTGGTTGGGGGTTGGAGGTGTGGGGGGGTGTTGACAGAAAATTTGATTTTGCAAAATTGAAATTCAGATGGAAATTTTCCAATTTTTGATCCGTTCTAATCGTCAGTTTCACTCTTATCACTCAATAGTCAGTCAGTTTCCCCAGTTCTTTGTGTGAATCTTTCACACAACCACAGCAAAGAGAAACTTTATTGTAATTGCAAAACCACAAGTATTGGCAGTGAGGCAAAGGGGCAGGTGTAGTCCCTGAACCCCGTTTTAGCTCTACATTAACTACACCTCAGTTAATTTGATTATGCCATTTAAGTACATTTCCGTCCATTTCTAGGATGGTTGGCGGTGTTGGACTTTTAGCGATAACACTGCACTATTAATAGAGAAGGACCTTTTGGTTGCAAAACCAAAACTCTCTGGGCCATATGATCTGTTAGCATGTCTTTAGGGATGAAGTGTTGGTGGTGCAGATGTCTTGTCTAGGCTCTCTGTACAGGGGAGAATTTTTTCCCATTTGAATAGACGTGTGCCTGTGAAGAAGGGCATGATATTTGTGCAGGAACAAGTGTGCTTGCTAATTCATTATTTACAATTTGTTAATCACTATTATTTATTTATGAATTCTTCTGGGTAAAGAATTTACTCCATCCAATCAGGGATCAGGAACAATACCATGTGACCTACATGGTCAGTTTCACACACTGATTATCAAATAATCAAAATGAAGATGCTTCAAACAGCTCCTAGCTTTTAAATTATTTGGCCAAACTATTCTTTGAATATTTCTGAATACCAAATGCAGTCACACAGGATGAGTTGTTCATGAACAGAAAGGAGGCTCAATCTTTTGGATAATTCGTTCACAGTGAAAATAATCCAGCCAGCTACAGACAAGAGTAAAATCTAGGAAGTTTATCATTTTGCATTTTCCTTTACCATTGATGAAACTCAGGGTTTTTAATGGGCAAAACTTTCTTCATATGTACACATCATTCATCAGCTTGACAAAGAGCTGTCTCCTCCCGCAAACAGCGCGTCAACCTTTCAACTGGTATAAACTGGTATAAACGGGTCAACCTTTCAACTGGTATAAACTGGCATCACTTTATTGAAGTCAATGGAGCTTGGCCAGTTTACACCAGCTGAAGATCTGGCTCTCGGCTGATATCTTTAAGAACTGCAATACCACATACTGTACTTCTGAGGCAATTCCTCACATGACTTTTCTAGGAAAATAGAGGAACAATTTCACTCCAACGGAGAGGCTCCCGGGATTGAGTTGTCTGCAGGTCAGACCTAATCCAGTATACTGCAGTTACTAGAATACTGAAGGGGAATTTGTTCATGCCGGTCTTGTCTTATTGAAAAGGCCTCAATAATTCTGCTGTCTGGGTTTGTTACATGGGAGTTTGCAGTACAATAAGTCTCAGAAAAACAGTTTACTAGTTAGACATAGAAATTCAGTACAGTAGTTTTGAAAAAAAATAATCTACACAAGTTTTTTTTAATTAAATTCCATAATAGTCATGAGGTATTCATCAACCACCAATTCTTCTTATGCATTAATGACATTAATTATGTAAAAATGCTTCCGGTTTAGAGCTGGTTGACAATTTTCCATCTAAACTGTTCTTAAATTTAAAAGAAGTTTTCCCGCTTTAATTAGCTTGTATTCACCTAGGGCACACATTCCTATTGCATTGAGCTTGCAGGTATCCGCAGAGCTTTACAACAAACAGAACTTTTTATGGCTCACTTCGCAATTTTCCTTGTTCACGGATCTCCTCCTAGCGGGTTGGCCGTTCCTTTCTTTTGACATCTTGGTGAAATTCTCCTGCGTAATACAGGCCAGAGGTCAGGCTAGATGATCACAAATATCCCATCTGGCCTTAAAATCTATGATCCTGTGAGGTGCTGAGGACTGACAGGTCACTCAACCTTTTACAGGATGAAGCCTGGATGGATGCTTAGGCCGGTAAACCCACAGAGCATTGAGTGGAAGCGCCAGCTAGCAGAGGTTTCGTTCAAGGTACCTTTTGCTATAGCCTTCCAAAAAAGCAATGCTGTAGTTCTCACGTCTCATCTTATACAGTGAAGCTACATGCTGCCATGTCAGACATTGGGGGTGATGCTTCAACCAGACTTCCGCCCCCAGGATACAAGACGGGACCGCCAACAGAGCATTCTCAGCTGGGGGGCGGCCTTCCCGTTACATGCTGCAGAGCACCTCTGTCTGAGCAGGAATCGGAGGAGGGCTGAAGCAGCTGCAGG